TTCTTGAGTATGAGCTAGATAACTGCTCAAATAAGAAATTGAAGATATTGGTTTGGCTAGGGGAGTGTGCCTGTAAACTACTTTTGCAGAAGTGGCTAATTTATGTCCTTAAGAATGGACAGCTTTTTCAATAAATAATTCTTTATAAGAAAATATAGTTGCCCTGAGTGCTCCCAACTATTGATACTGATTTTGTGAAGAATAGTTACCTAATTTTAATAGATCTGCTCCTTTTGCAGAGGACCCAGAGGGGAACAAAAAGTGTGTGGGGGGGAGGAAAAAATCTTGAACCTTGCAACCTTATATTTTCTTTGTATTTTCAAATGTCGATGGATTTAACAAATTACTTTAATGAATTATTGTTATCTGGGCATGTAGGTGGATTTTGTAAATACAAGTTTAATAGTATTTTTAAAATGTTCTTGCTCTTGGGCACATCTTAACATGTAATTAAGCAATGTAGGTTATTAGCATCCCTGTTTCCCTAAAACATTTTATTTTAAGAGAGATTACAGTTACAACCTCATCAGATGTACATGGTTATGGTTTTAAAATGTAAAAATGATCGTGTTATTTTTTTTATAAATAATTAGGCAGTGAGCCTACCTAATATTTCTTCCTCTTCCTATTTTCCCCACAACAACAGTCCAATTAAATGGGTTGGGCCAAAAGAGAATGACTGTCTCAAAATCATCCAGCTGCTTTCATGCCAGGGTGGGACTACAACTCACAGTCTCCTGGTTTCCAGCCTGATGCCTTAATTCTCATGGATAAATGAACAATTATGTAGTATTGTGAGGAAGATTGTAATGAATATGTATAGATAGTGGGATTTTAATAAATGGCAATGATATATACCAGGGGTAGGCAACCTCGGCTCTTTTATGACTCATGGACTTCAACTCCCAGAATTCCCGAGTCAGCATAGCATAGCTGACTCGGGAATTCTGGGAGTTGAAGTCCATGAGTCATAAAAGAGCCGAGGTTGCCTACCCCTGATATATACCATTTTCTCTAAGCAGCGATACCTGAAAGAAAAAAAATACAGGCACAAAGCTGGCAGATTACACGAACCTTTGCCCTACAGAGTCAAATTCGTATTTCGAGAATCAAGTTCATCAAGATCATAGTTTGATTCTAAAATTGTAAATGTGAACTGGATTGATTGATTGATTGATTATTAACCACATTTATACACTGCTCCAATCATAACCAACTCTAAGCAGTTGACATATCTTAATGTAGCAGTAGGATTTAAAATCTTATATTTCAAAAAAGAGCCCAAGTTTAGCAAGATGTTGAAAGATATTTAGTCTTTGTTGTTCACTTTCATGTAAGCCTGCATTCCTACATTCTGCATTAGATTCTCTATGAAAGTACTTTTAAGTATCAATAGAAGAGTAATTCAGGGTTAAACTAGAGAGTCCTTGGTGCTCTCTAAATTTGTTTTATTGCAGACATTTCATTACCCAGCTAGTAACATCATCAGTCTCCCTTTGAGCATTGATAATGTTACCTAGTTGAGTAATGAAATGTCTGCAGAAAACAAACAAGACTCAGAGAGCACCAGTATAGTATTTTAATTGTCAGAGGATGCCAGTGACTTAGCAATGGTTGATTCAATTTTGAAAAGTTATACGGTATGTCATTTGTAGTGAAGCATCTGACCTAATTAAAGGTGTTAACTATTAATAGAAACAGAACTGGAGTTTTTCTCCAGGTTTATTTTTCATGGGGATCAGAATATGTCTGCTAATATTAAAGGAGCCAAATTGGCTACTATGAAAAAAATATTAGCCAAAGATTGCTTCTACTGAGACTAATTCTGTTTCCAAATCTAGGATTGTATTTCATACATATTTGGCAACATGTCAGATGTAAAAGGGAACTAGGCTTTTCTGCTACATGGATGCAGCAACATTCCAATTTTGGTTGTATCCCCAAAGAACAGATGATAACCTTTCAATTTAAACATACTGCAGAATTCCACAAAGTTTAAACTCAGGAATTATCACTTGTTTGAACTATGTTTAGTGAAAACAAATCAGAATCAGAGTTAAGATTGCTTTATTGTCTAAAAATTGGTTTTCTCATATTCAGACATAATTACTGATTTTAAATGGTTTATTTAAAATCAAAAGTGAACATTTCTAATTTTTCACATGCAATAAATAGATAAAGGAGCTAAAGAGCACCCAATCTGTAAACTGGCACAGATTTCAGTCATTTAGGACAAAAGCATTAATTTGTGTTTCATTGAAGTTTTGAATAATCCTGTACACATAAGCAAAGAATAGGAATAGACTTCTGTCACCTAAACAAACATGACTATATATACAGAAAAGTGCAAAGAGCAAAGCGATTTTTTAAAGCAGCAACTGATTTGTGTAGGCTACTCAGAAGTTAAGTTAGTGAAATAAATTGTGGCTACTAACAAATATAATGAAGAAAAAGAATGCACAATGAATTTCTTACTGAAGTGACATTGTCTGTAATTCCTGAATAGACACTTCTGTAATGTGCCTTTTGAAAAAGAAAGACACAGCATCACTCTGATATTAGTTCCAAAAATATTTAATTAAGCAGCTTTCTTACAATAAAATCTATAATCTTAATAGCATGCCTAACTAGAAGGAAGTAGATCACCATTTAGAAAAGTAGAATGAAAGGACATACTCATAGAATATTTCTCATACGAGAAATCTTTAAAAGGACTTCTAAATGTATATTGCAAATAATTAATATACATGGCTAATTTTACATGTCTGTATTTTAGGACACTGGTGTGTGGAAAAAACAGAATTATCAGTAGTGGGTTCCTTTAGCATGTGTAAAATACAAAATAATTACTTACACATTCCTTAAATCAGCTTATGGATAATTTCTGTGTATTCTCTCTGTGTGTAGAGATTTAATTGAAACTTCTATGCATTGAACATATGTGAATTGAACCCACCAAAATAACAGGGTTATTGCCAGAGGTACTATTTCTCCCCAGCTCACTTCCCTCATTAAGATGAACGGCAAATAAAATTGTCAAGCCTGGCATTTAAGCAATTTTCTCTATAGTTATTAAAATAATAAACTGTCTCCAAAAATCTGTCACTTTCAGAAAGAGCAATTTGGGAATTGGACTAATTAGATCGACAGTGCAAACTCAAGAGAAATATTAAAACTGGAAATACAATCAGTTGAAAAATTTTCTTGTGTCAAAAACTTATTTCCTCATGTGAGCCTGATGATGTGGATAAATTAGTTAAAATCTTTGGAATCATACCCTTTCAAGTAATTAAAAATCTTCCAGGGCTAAGCATACCATCTGGCCCTTAGAGATGGTTAATCAGGGACAGTAAGTTCCCACCACATTTAAGGAAGCTGTAGTTAAACATTTGCTTAAAATATAGAACTCTAAATTATGGATAAATATTACCCAGTATGTTGTGCATCTTTCCCAAGTAAGATACTGGAGAAAATTAGCTCTGAACCCCAGGGGATGCAAAATGATATTGAATTTTTTGGATCCATTCCGATCTGGCTTCTGATCTGATCTGGGGGCAGAAATAGCCTGATGGGGTTTCATTATGGAATTAGAATAGAGAATGATTGGCGAAATCAACATTCTTGCTTCATCATTTCAGAGTGCTTCCATTCAGGCTAGTTTATTATAACATGCATTAAGTGGGCTGCCTTTAGAGACAGTTAGGAAGCTGCTGCAGGACAAAGCTATTCAATTATTGGCAGAGTTTAGGCAATTAGAAGATATAACAGCAATCTTACATCGGTTGCCAGAGCATTTCTAGGCCCAGTTTAGAATGCTTCTGAGCCCTAAATAATTTGTGGTGATGCTATTTGTCTATCCATTTATACCTCTCTGAGGTGTGTAATTTCCATGGTGCGCCACAGGAGTGCCAGGCCATTCTATTAGGTTAGAATGCAGAAATGATAAGCCAGAGGAAGCTCCAGTCTTCTCCACACAATGCTTTATGAGACTCTGTGACTGTTTTTAATTAGATCTTTAGTGGCCAGGGTGTTCTCATCTGCCTTTAAATAGGTGAAATCTGTTTATTTTACAAATTTTAGTTCATAAAATACTAGCATGTTCATTTATTATATTTCCATTGAGAGAAAGAGGGAAATTCCGTTAGGAAGTTTTGCCTTGAAAGATGGAGGGAATACTTTTTTTAAAATCCTCATAGCCTTGTTAATTAGAGAAAATAACCTCAGTAGTCAACTCTTCATATTAAGAGGAAACAGTGCATAAAACCAAATGACAACAGAGGCTTATTAAACATATAGCATCCTAAATCAGTCAGTTGCATTTCTCTACGATCCTCAAAATTAGTGTAATTGAATTTGCTCTTGCTAAGCGTGCAGAAGTGCCAGCCCACAGGGCCTTCCAGGGTGACTTAACTAGAGCCATTCACATAGAGATCTCTAATCTACATGCAAAGTTTTATTCACACATGTGTGCATTGATTTTTAGGCAGAAGATACCCATGGAGAGAGCATATGCAGCAGACTCTTTCCCCCATCCAAAGCACACCTCTTTAAAAGCCTTCACTAGGACCAAATGAGCCTTTAAAAATGTGATTGCTGAATCAATGAGATGACTTTTCAATGGGGAGTTATAATGTTTAGAGAAGGGGTGATTAGCTGATTCTTCGAGCAACAGCTCTCAAAAATATCCCTCCATGTGCCAATTAGACTCCATTGGCACCAAAGAGGGCTTTTGAAGATTTGATTGCAATGCAGGAACGGAAAAAGCTCTTGTGTCTAATTTCTTGCTGATTAGTGAAAAAAGCTTTTTGCTATCTTGGAAAGACAGATAGAGTTTGAAGAAAGAAGCTGGTGGTCTGCATGGAAAACAGGAGGTTTCCAATGTCCGCAAAAAAGCTACTTTATCAGTTTCATTTTAAAAGAAATGTTTTGAATATTATGAAAGTACAATATTCCACTTTTCAAGTATTCTTGAAAATGATTTCTGGATTTATTTGTTGCAGGACCAATGCAAGAGACCATTTATGATTTCTGGAGAATGGTCTGGCATGAAAACACAGCAAGTATAGTCATGGTGACAAATCTTGTGGAAGTGGGAAGGGTAAGAATATTTTAGAAACTATATGTGTGTGTTATTTATATATTCTATTTGCCAACCACAGTAAGCAACATGATCACTATAAAGAGGTTTATATAATCATGTAGTCTGTTTTTTTAAAAAAAATTCCCAGTGATTATACAATCAATTTACTTCAAAAGTGAAGAAATTCCATACCTCCAAATATTGTTGAATGATTATTCCCCAAATTCACTACCATTGGCCATGAAAGTGGAGCAAGTGAGAGTTGCTGTATAGTTCCACATCTGTGACTAACCTCTTGTCATGGAAGGCAAAAAAAAGGAGAAAGATCTAAGGAGACTCTAAGGAGAAAGATCATACACTTTATTGAGGCAACAGTTGTTGGGTTTCAGCTTGCAGGAACAAAAGAAAACAAGAATTTAATAGTGGGAATCCTTGCGGAGCTGCTTTTAGGTTCCTGCTATTTTCAGGAACAGAGGAGAAATAGATCCAATTGGTTTGGATTAACATACAATAATTGCCAGGGAGAGTTCTGCTGTTGGGAAATTCTAGAAATATTAGAAAAGAATGTGTTTATTCTGGTGGAAATTGATGACATTAGGCATATATCTCCAATCTTTCATGGGATGTTGTGCTTCTTGGCTAGGTTTTTTTGTTACCTGTCCTGATTAGTTTATATCTAGATAATGGCATGGCACTTACTCCTTACTGTTTCTAGTCAGTTTCACCGTTCCTGCCTATTCTAAAGTAAGCAAGGAGCAAAGATTTCTTTTTAGCTGTAAAAAGGACTTCGGGGTGGAAAGGAGATCTTTTCATTTATAAAAGGCGCTCCAGAGGTAGGGAGAAAATCCAATTTCAGACACTGATTATATGAGACTTAAGGTCACAAAGTGGAATTCTCAGCAGTGTGCAGAAATAAATCAAATAATAATTTTTCCTTATTATTTCAGTCATAACCCTACATTCTTGTGATAAAATTACTCAGGATTTGACACTTGACATCATAAATGTGCTCAAACACAGTGGCACAGTTAAAGGAACAGATAATTTTCAGGAAGATAGAATTCTCACAGAGGGGCAAAATATTTGTGATTAATCAATTTGTGATTAATTAATCCCTTAATTCTTTCTTTTCCTAAAGAACGTTGAGTGGATTTGGGTGTTTATTATATGTCATTCTCTGAAACTTATTAGCTACATTCAGTGGTGGGATTCAAATATGTGAACAACTGGTTCTCTGTGTGGATGCTGCTTCCGGAAGTCCATTCTGAGCTTGGGCAACAAAAAATTACCTACCGGGTCTGCCGAAGTGGTGCGAACTGGCTGAATCCAGTTCACTATACACTATACACTATATACACTATAATTGGAGGCATATATATTACATTGTAAAGAATTTGTGGTAGGCAGAGTGAATTAATCCACATATTTTGTTTTGCCTATACTAGTGTTTTTTTAAGAAAAGTACAGTAACTTTCTCAACTCAAAATCCTAGTGAATCTTGATTTCATTGATAATTATTAATTACCATTATTAAATGATATACTGCCATTTTAGAGCATGTGGCTGATCATTCAGCTTACGTTACATTATTAAATGAATTAAGTAAGATTTATGTCAGCTACTGCAGTTCCTAGGGAAAAAAAGGTAAAATTTAATTGAGTTTTTAAACAAACACTCATTACCAAAAGGGCAGAAATGCAAGTCAGGGTATTCCATATTTGAAGGAAAGCCTATTTTCCTTCAAATGACAGATTTTAGTCTCATATATTTGATGAGCTACAGAAAAATTCACCTAAGCTTGTTCCAACATCTAGAAAAAGAAGAAAATTAACTTCAAATAAAGAAAATAAAGATTTGTTCCCCTATGGGTTCAATAACATTAAGTGTAATTAACAAGGAATGAAAACCATCTTGATATTTCTGTCTATTAATTAATGTGTATTATATAATTGCTATATATGATGACCAAGTTGCTTAGCATTTCTTTGTGAAGTTATGTTTAGCTTCCTTAGCTATTGAAATAATAAGAAAGGTAATTTGTGCATGTTAGAAGTATGTTAGTTTATGTTCATCTTATTTTCAAAAGACAATGAAAAAACACTTATTTTAAATGATTAATTAGGCTTGGATCACTAAAACACTTGTGATACATGTTTTTAATATCTTGGAATCAGAATAGTTTATAATTTCCTCTGAAGAATAGATGCATGGACTTTAGAGTAATCAATTAATTGCTCAATAATATAAGTATTTCCTGCTTCCTTTGTTCTAAATTCAAGTTACATTCTGTTTTTAGAAGTGGATATTTCTCATGGTTTATTGTGAGTTTAAATCCTGTTGTTTAGACATCTAACAGCCTGAATCACTCACAAATAAAGGTATAAGACTTATTTTAGGCAAAGCAGTACAATTTGTGAGTATAATTAAGGACTATTATCAAAGCATAAAGACGCAGCCACTTAGAGTGGCAAAAATAGTCTAATTCCCAGTAAATCAATACATTAATTTTCCCTTTTAATTCAGAAAGTTAAAACAAATTTATTGCTGTGAAACAGTCCATATTTACTGCATGTGTGGTAGCAACATTCCAAAAATGAAACATATTTAATTGTTAGTCATTCCTTTATTACATTGTAATACAGCCAGAATCTGCAAGGACTTCCTGCAATCAACAGCAATAAAACATCCACCATCACTATAATGTTTAAATGCCCAGAGTAAGAAACTCTAAGACATAGCATTTAAAACAAGATAGTGTCATTCCAAACTGTCTCAGAGCAGTCTCCAGAAGAGCATCATTTGAACCAACTTCCAGAAAACTATTTTTTTTAAAAAGGTTAAAAATTACAGAAAATACAGAAGAAAAGCTAGCCTAATTTCTGGAGGGAGTCCATATAAAGAGTGCCAAGGTTTGAAAAGCAAAACCTTTAGGCCTCTATCACATTAACTTAATGGGTCTAGTGCAGGGGTAGTCAACCTTGGCTCTTTTATGACTCGTGGACTTCAACTCCCAGAATTCCTGAGCCAGCTAAGCTGGCTCAGGAATTCTGGGAATTGAAGTCCACGAGTCATAAAAGAGCCAAGGTTGATTACCCCTGGTCTAGTGGTTAACACACCAGGCTAGAAACGACGAGTTCTAGTCCCACCCTTAGGCATGAAAGCTGGCTGGGTAACTCTGGGTTAGTCATTCTCTCACAGTCCAAATCCAATAGGGTTTTTGCTCACTACCTTGAGTTACTTACATAAAAATAATAAAAGCAGGATAAAAAAATCTTCAAAATTAAAGGAACTACAAGTAGCTTCTTAGACAAGTTAACATGGGCTGAAGAAGGCAGTGGTCCAAATATCTTGGCACCAAGCCATATTGAATAAAAAGTCTAAGTAAAGAAATATGTCACAAAAAACCCTCTGGAATTTGTATTTTTACCAAAATAATCTGATTTCATTTCATTATATTGCCTATTTAGGATTCATCATTCCACAATGAAATAACACTAATTTATTTTCAAATAATATTTTAAACAACTATAAAAGAATGTATTGGTTCAACATCTGTATTTTACCCTTTCAAAATCAACATTGTCCTACATTTATTTTGTCATTCTAGTGCTATAGCATCAATTTTTTCTATCTTTAAGAGTATTACTGCAAACATCAAGATATCTTCAACTGATATTGTAGCATCAACTTTACAAAATATCTTAATTCCCTTGAAAAATGAACACAAGGATTAATCTAGTTTTCCCCAACTTAATGCCCTGGAGATATGTTAGGACTATAGTTCCCAAAGTTTTCTAGCCAGTTAGGGTGAAATCCTAGGAATATTTGTTTCAATAGATATGATGAATACCAGACTCAGAGGAATTCATTGTGGGGTATGAAACTTGAAGCTTGCTGCAGGATTTTCTCCTGTGTAATCAACACTCCAACATATTAGAATTAATTGAAAATAACACTTTTTTTATTAAGCAAAACCATGTAACTATTTAGAAATACTATGTATGATTTTTTTTCAAATCATTCAAAAGCAAGTATGAATCAGAATTGCAGCAAGACAGGAGATACCTTCCAATGTGGAATCCCAAATCAGATTACTCTTGCTTTTGAAGAACAAAAAAGAACAGAAGCTATTACATGATATGAATTAAATATTATTTTGTCCCTTAATCCCATTTTTCTCTTTTGGAAATGTCAAGATTTTGAAAATAGAATCTATTTATTCTAGATTAGATCTGTCATATTTTGTTTTTATTCAAAGATTCATACAGCTACACATCTCAGCATACTGTGTAACTCTAGAATGCTAACAAGGGTTCGTAGTGTAGTGTAGTGTAGTGTAGTATAGTACAGTACAGTACAGTACAGTGCAGTACAGTACTATTCTTGTTTAGCTAGGGTGAAGTAATACCAATAACACTTAGACTTATATGCTGCTTCACAGTGCTTTACAGGCTTCTCTAAGTATTTTACAGAATCAGCATAATGCCCCCAACAATCGGGTCCTCATTTTACCGACCATGGAAGGATGAGTCAACCTTGAGCCGGTGAGAATTGAACTGCCGAACTGCTAGCAGCCAGCAGTCAGCAGAAGTAGCCTGCAGTACTGATTCTAACCACTGCGCCACCATGGCTCATGACTAACATTGTCCAAAATCTATAATTCACTCTTGCAAATGTTATCTATAATACAAAAAAGAGTAGGTTAGAACCTCCTTCTCAGCTGATAGTCAAGGAGTCCAGTTTGGAACAGTGTGCCTGTAAATAACAAAAGTACAATTAAAAAAAAAAACCCTCTCTATGCAATTAGAGAGTCAGTTTGGTCTAATGATTAAGGCTGGAAAACGGGAGATTGTGAGTTCTACTCCTGCCTTAACTATGAAAGCCAGCTGGGTGACCTTTGGCCAGTCACTTTCTCTCTCACCTCACAGGGTTGTTGCGCAGAAAATAGGGTTACATAGTTGTTATGGGGGAAATGGGAAGTGGAATATATGTTGCATATATTCACTGCCGAGTTATTT